ACAAGATGGCTCAGGCTACTTCCTTCATGAATGGAGATTTCCTCTTGACCAACATTAATGAAGTGCCTACTAAGTGCCAGGCTCTCATCTCTCATGGGGAAATGGAAAAGTAGAGAGACAACCACAGCCAGTGTGATCCAAGAAGGGTGCCCAACCCAGCCTCCCAGGCAGGAGGGGAAAGCCAGAGGGGGCACTCTGCAGAAAGGAGGAGACTTCCATGACTATGAAAGAGAAAGGACAGGAGGTGAGGATTTCCAGCTGAGAGAGTCTTTAGACCCACCTGACCCTTCTCAAAGCCAAGGCGGTGGCGCCAGGGGTGGAGATGGGGGAACAATATGGCGACCTCTTCCCCCACCTCTCTTCAAGGAGATCTTTGTGTGGGTTTAACGATTTATACTTGGATAAAGGTTTCCATGGACTTTGGGGGGTGGGAGTCCTAGAGAATAAAATATGAGCTCCTGAGCAGAACAGTTGAGGTCCCCAGACTGCTAACGAGCCTCAGAGACTCAGTTGGAGGAACACTCCACTTAATGGAAAAAGCCAGGATGGAGCCCAGGCAGGCCAGGGGTGGACAGGTCTTTAATAAATGTTAGACGGGAAAGTCAATGACTCTGGGTCAAAAAGAGACTTGTTTGTGGACCCGATTTTGTTATCCGTTCCTACTCTAGAGTGCCTAAGCAGACTCCTCACCTTTTTTTCTCAGATGGTGCCCACTCTGGAGAACTCGGTTCCACGCTGACATCCAATTACACCCAATCGTGGTCCTCCACCTCTGCAGCTTCCCTCTGGTCAGGCCTCAGTGCCCCCACCCCCTCTGCACACCCACCTCCAGCAAGCCTGGGCCAGCACACGGTAGGAGACCAAGTTCTGCAGCAGAGCCTGAAAGAGGAGGCTCTGTCTAGCCTGTCTGTCTCCGAATTTAAAGAGAAAGAGCAAACAGAAAAGCAAGCCTTGGACCAAACTGCCATCAGGGAGGCAGGAAGGGCAGCCTGAATGAAATAAGCTCAGGAAACCAAGTTCATTCTCAAAAGACGAGCTCAGAGGGGCTGGGCAGCCTTTGAGGGCAATACCAAAGTTTGGAAAAGGTTAGGGTGGCTCACATTGATCTGGACCCTGCTCATTTGATTCTAGACAGGAGATTCACCTGCCTGAGCCTCAGTTTTCTGATCTGAGAAGTGGGAAGAGTGTTTCCTACCTCAATTGAATGAGGTGAAGCACTGAACCCCAAGGCATGTTAGCCAGACAAGAGCTAATTATCGAGCACTCACGAACTGCCTGACCCTGAGGACACAGGGTGACCAAAAAGGTATGTCATGTGCCACCACTCCCTCCTCTCTCTCTCCCGCATCATTCTGGAACAGCGGTCCTCAACTCTGGCTGCCTTCAGTATACTCCACCCTCAAGCCCTCCCAAGGAGTTTTGAAACAATGCCCATCCCAGACCCCCTGAATGAGAATCTCAGGAGACTGGGCCTGGAAATGTGTACTTCAGACAAGGTTCCCATGACATTTTTATGCAATCTACATAAGCCTAGCTTTTGGAAGAACCCCAGAATGCAAAACCTGGGTCCAGCAGCATTTGTAGACACTTGCACAGGCCTGGGTAGGTTTAGGCAATGGGCAGCCAGACACTGGCTGTCAGAGATGCCTTGAGAATGTCTTTTGTGAGTGTTACTAACAGCAAACACCTACGTGGTACTTCCCACTGTTCTCATTTTACAGGGAATAACTCAGTTTATACTTATATATCCCGATGAGACAGTCCGTCATTCTCATTTTACAGAAGAGGAAACTGAGGCACAAGGCTCCAGATTGCCTCGCTGTACTTTTCATTCTAGCCCGATTTCTCCAGGCACCCCAACGTGTTGTTGTGGGAAAGAGCAAAGCCTTTGAAGTTCAATTCTCCAGGTTTAATGTCTCTCCCACTTTCAGCCACGTGGCTACGGGCAAGTCCTGAAACCCTCTTGGCCTTTGTTTCCTCATCCATTCAATGGATCTGATAGAACCCAAGCAGGGTTCCTGCAAAGACTAAATAGGATGAGTGGAGACCACAGCTGATCTGGAGAGAGAGAGACATTACGGCCCGGTTCCAGTCCCTTCCTTCCAGGCTGGAGTCAGGCCCTGCTCCCTGCTAGGATCTTAGATGCTGAGTCATCATCGGAGCTTTCTCTCTGAGGCACAGGGTCTTTGAGTCACACCTTGGATCGGAATCTCTGGAGTCAGACCCCAAGGAAGAACTGCAGCTTTGGGACACCAGAAAAACACAATGCAGTCTTTGTTTTGGGTCCATGCTGAGACAACCTCAGGCCAGCAGATTTCAATGCACCCCCAGGGGCCCCCAACTCTGTTCAGATCTGCCATTTATCCTGGAGGGGGTGACCCAGTCCAGTCAAAGACCACCTAGCGGGGCTATTGCCCTTGGTCCCTGTCTCACTAGATTGATATGGCTAATCTCTCAAGAACACCTGACTGACATTTTAAAAAGTCATCCACATTCCACTTCTTCTGCTTCAAGGGTGTCCTCACCAGGAACTTAGTGAAGATGCAGGTTTTTTGTGCCCCTTCATAGCAGACTGGCAAAACCTAAGCCCGGACCCTTCCTGTTCACTGTCTTTAATCCTGACCATGATACTTCCAGAAAGAGGTCTGGAAAGTGAGGTGTAGGTCCTGCTCAGCCTTGACACATCTCTCCCTTTCTCTGGGTCTCAGTTTCCATCTATAAAATAGAAAGAGGTTGGACCAGGTCTGTGTGAGTTTTTTACTCCATTCCAAATGATCGAACCAACGGTTTGCAATCTCAGATTTGCTTGTCGCAAGAGAGCTCCCTTGGGAGAGGAGACCCTAACAGATGTTCCAGGGTCCTTCAAAAGCCAAATCCCATACCTCCATCCATACGGTCCACTACCTCCTTGGGACTCCACCTACTGAATCACAGGGAATGGGGAGAATGGAAGGAACCATTTAATTCATTCCAGGTATATATAGTCAAGCGATGCTTGACAGCTGAGAAAAATTCTGAGAAATGTGTTCTTAGGTGATTTCGTCACTGTGTGAACATCCAGTCACCTGGCCTATTGCTTTGACCAACATCATACATAAGGTGCATCTTTGACTGAAATGTAGTACTTGAACTCTTCCTATATGCCAGGCCCTGGACCAGGTGCCAGGTCGCTGGGCAAAGCAGGCAGTCCTCCTCCTCACCCCAGAGCTGCTTACCCTCTAGTGAGAGACAAGGTCTCCCAAAGCTAAGAAGTCACAGACAAGAGGCACACCCATGTATGGCTCCTCGCACTACAGCACCATCCCTTTGGAAGTTTTCCAGAGCTGGCTGGCAACCTCTCCCTCCCTCGACCCCCACCCTGTGCCCCCCCAGCCTGGGGCTGGCACAGCCACAGCACATACTGCACAGAACTGTAGTCTGCGCCTTCACCTGCATGTCCCCCTGCCAGCTGGCAAGCCCCTGGAAAGCAGGCCCCTGGAAGGCAGGCACTGGGGTTTTCCTTCTCTGTACCTCGGTTATTTCAATGCACATTTGCGAAACTCAGCAAAGACGCCAGAATTTCTATACAGGAGGAGGCTAGGCTGGAAGGTGTGCCTTGAAACTGCAGCTCCATAGCAAGAACGGGGTTTGTATTGACATATCATGTTCATTTGCGGCTTAGGAGAACTTAAGTATGGCTGATGGGCAGTACTAGGGTGTCTACAGCCCTCATGCATGAACACTGGCTGACGTCTGAATCTTCAATCTTTCAGTAGCTAAAAGGAACCAAACAAGGTAAAGTGCCCAGGACATCTGTAAGGAAGGATTGTTCTTGAGCATAAAATAAAAGGGGCCCTCCCTCCCCCACGCGCTACAGAGCACCTCCCACTTCCAAGCCACACAGAGGTACTGCTTGGGGACCCTCAGGGAAGGCTGACACAAGGGCCACAGGCGGGGGACTGGGGGCGGTGGTGGGGGTAAGGAGCCGACCCACTAAATCCCAGCTTCAGCTACTAATTTGACAGAGGCAGTGACAGCGTGTTTCCCCCAGCACACGCCACATCCCACACGCTCTGCCCCAATCTCCTCCTCGATGCTGAATCAGAGACCGCGGAGATCTCCCGGGAAGTCCGAGCAATTCCAGCTGCTCTTCCCCCCGGAGGGCAGGAGCGGCCAGACCTACAGACCGGAGAGGAAAGGAAAGCGGGGGAGGGTGGACGGAGGCGAAAATGACGCCACTCCTAGCTCCAGCCAGCGCAGGGGCCGCCAGATGCCCGCGCGACCCCTCTCGCCCAGGCCACCACCTCCGCGCCGCCACAGCGCCAACCCCGGGCCATCCAGAGGGACGCACCCGACCCAGCGGTACCCGCGGATTCTCGCTCCCGCGCGTGTCGCACGCTCTGTGACACACCCCGAGCCCTCCCCCGACACATACGCGCGCAGTCTCACACACCCCACCCCGGCCTCGGGAACGAATCGGCACCCGCCCCTCCGATCCACACCCGCTCCCGGCCCAGTGTGGGAACCAGACACACCCACGCCCGCTCCAGCCTCGTCGCCGGCGCCGCTCAGCCCCGTTCACCCCCGTCCACACGCGCGCGTGCAGTCTCGCCTTCCGCAGACACCCTAACACACGCAGCCCCTCCTGCGCCCCCTCGCAGCGCGCACCCCGGCCAGCGGCGCCAGCTGTGACTCCGGGAGGACGCCGGGCAGCGCGATCCAGGTGTTCCCGGGGCCGACCCGGCGCCCCCTCCCTGACCCGCACAACGCCACTTCCCCAGCTGGAGGGAGGACGAGCGGGGACCTGTCTTTTTTCCCCCTTCTTTGCCCTAGCCGAACCCCCTACTCCAGCGGTGCCTACGCCCCAAAGCCCCCCAAGTGTCACGCACTTGCAGCTCCCGGGGGCTTGCTCTTGAAGCCCACGGGGCCACAAAGGGCAGTCCAGGCGCCCCAGCAGCACCCCACGGGCCACCTCTTTCTGCTCCTCGTCGCGCCCGGAAGGAAGAGGGCGCCTGGCTTACCTAAAGCAGAGGGAGAAAGGAAAGGAGCCGGTGCCTCAGCTGGGGGATCCGCCACCGGTGAGAGCCAAGGACAGCGGCGAGGATGGGCGTGCTCTCCGGAGCCCGAGCAGGGAGCCAGGCAAGGTTTGTTTATGGCA